GATCTCTTGAGCCCAGGAGTTCAACCAGCCTGGGAAACATAGGGAGACTCTGTCTCTACAAATAATAAAAAAGTAGCTGGGCATATTATTTTGTTTTTGAACAAAATTCATGAACAATAATTGAAAATTTAAAGAATAATTCAAAATAATTATTTGTAGAAACACTGTCTCTGTAAGTAATAAAAAAGTAGCTACTTGGGAGGCTAAGGCAGGAGGACCACCTGAGCCCGGGAGGTTGAGGCTGCAGTGACTGTGCCACTGCACTCCAGCCTGGATGACAGACTGGCACCCTGTCTCAAACAAAACAAAACAAAAACAAAAGTAATGTTTATTAATGTTTCCCTTCAAAGTTTTAATAAACAGCTAAGTAATCAAAATAAAACAATGATCGGGCACAAGGCTGTGTGGCAGCAGGCCCCGCTCTAATTCCATATGCATAACACACAGTGGGCACTAATGAATATTCACTGACAGATCGGCTGGAAGTTGGAATCGTGAGACTGAGGTACTAAGGGTGCAAGTTTGCAGCATAATAAAACTCAAACCTCATTTTTAAAAGTTTATCAGGTAAATGTAAAGTTGGGAAGTGACAATAAATGTCACAATCTCTTATGAATCTTTATCAACCACAGATTTAATTAAGCCCTTCTCAAACCTTTTAGCTTTTACTACTTTTAAGTATACTGACGCCATTTCACAAGCATGTACTGCTCTCTTCTCTTTGTTTTAAGGCAAGTGATACAAACTCAAATATCTTTAAGGGCCAGGCAAGCCATGAAAATGAGCTGAGTGGGCTGAGTGGAGAACATGGCAAACTGGAAGCACACATTCTGTGTCTAAAGGAAGTCAGTTATTGTCCCATAGAAACACAGGTCTAGTGTGATCAGTTCTTCTAATTTTTAAAGAGGCTGGATATTGATAAATATATATTATTTATATTATAAATATAAATAATTTATATAATTTAATAATATTTATAAATTAAATATTTATAATTTAATAAATTAAATAATATTTATAAATTAAATAATTTATAATTTAATATTTATATATTATAAATAATATGTTTATTATTTATAATATAAATAATATATATTTATTATATATTTATATATTATATAATTTATATATTATACATTATTTTTATAAACATGTATATTTATAAAATATAAATATGTAAATATATATAATATATATTATATATAATATATATCTATATTTTTTTTGAGACAGAGTCTTGCACTGTCGCCCAGGCTGGAGTGCAGTGGTGTAATCTCAGCTCACTGCAACTTCCACCTCCTGGGTTCAAGTGATTCTCCCGCCTCAGCCTCCTGAGTAACTGGGACTACAAGCATGCGCCACCATGCCTGGCTAATTTTTATATTTTTAGTAGAGACAGCATTTTGTCATGTTGGCCAGGCTGATCTCGAACTCCTGACCTCAAGAGATTTGCCCGCTTTGGCCTCCTGAAGTGCTGGGATTATAGGTGTGAGCCACTGTGCTCACCTTGCATATTGGTATTTTTATGAAAACTTACAGTTTTTACAGGATAGTAAATAACTTTCAAAACCCAAGCACTGTAGAGCAAACAAAAGTTTTCAGGCCAGGAGTGATGGCTCACACCTGTAATCCCAGCATCTTGGGAGACCAAGGCAGGTGGATCGCTTGAACCCAGGAGTTAGAGACCAGCCTGGGCAACGTGGTGAAATCCAGTTTCTATGAAAAATACAAAAATCAGCCAGGTGTGGTGGTGTGTGCCTGCAGTCCCAGCTACTCAGGAGGCTGAGGTGGGAGGATTACCTGAGCCTGCGAGGTTGAGGCTGCAGTGAGCTGTGACTGTGCCTCTGCACCCCAGCCTGGGTTGCCGAGTGAGACCTTGTCTCAAAAAAATTTTTTTTCATGGGCCAGATATGGTCTGTTGCAGGTGGTGCCTACTTTTTTTGTTGTTGTTGTTGTTGAGACGGAGTCTTGCTCTGTCACCCAGGCTGGAGGGCAGTGGCACAATCTTGGCTCACTGCAACCTCCCGGGTTCAAGTGATTCTCCTGTCTCAGCCTCCTGAGTAGCTGGGATTACAGGCGCATGCTGCCAGGCCCGGCTAATTTTTCGTATTTTAGTAGAGATGGGGTTTCACCATGTTGCCCAGGCTGTTCTCGAACTCTTGAGCTCAGGCAATCTGCCCGCCTTGGCCTCCCAAAGTGACTATTTAAGGTATTCTAAGATTTGGTGAAAAGGTTCATGTTCTACTTAGCTGCACTGTCCATGCTTTTTAAAACTTGGGTGAAATTCTCTCTCAACTTTTCTTTCTTTTGGTGGGGGAGACAGGGTCCCATTCCATTGGCCAGGCTAGAGTGCAGTGGCATAATCATAGCTCAATGCAGCCTCAAGGCCTGGGGACCTTCAGTATTTATTGTTCTGAACCACAGTAACAAAACTCCTTAACTTGGCTCTCAAAGCTTCTTGTTGAATGACCTCACCTTCTCCTTCAGTTCATCCCCAAAGAGAACTGGGGTGATAACCAAACTGTTCTGTTCTCCCAAGGAACCTTGACATATATTGAAATATCTTTTCTTCCCTCTATTTTTATGGTTATCTACTGATTATCAAAAATCTAATTTAAATCTTACTTTCTTTGAGAATCCCACTCCACTACAGTAAATTTTCTTCGGTGTCCAACAAATCATAAACCAGTAGTCATGCTTATAAGAAACATTAGGATAATCCAATTCATTTGCTGCTTCAGCTAATGTTTAAAAAGTACTTTTTAAGTTTTATTTTGCAGTCAGTAGGTTTTTAAAAATTTATTTTAATTAATTAATATTTTTAAGAGACAGGGTCCTGCTGTCACCCAGGCTAAAGTGCAGTGGCACCATCTCACCTCAGTGCAGCCTCGAACTCCTGGGCTCAAGAGATCCTCCCTCAGCTTCTCAAGTTCTTTAGAGAATTTTAAAAAATTAACCCTCACAAAGCACTGCCTGACTCTCTAAGTTTATAAGGACACTGTGCTTCTCCACATTATGCCTAAAAAGGCATACATTAAGGGTCACAAACTCAAAGGCCTGCGGAGGCCAGACAAGTAACACAAACAGTTCACTGTAAGAGAACTGGGAGTTGAATGACTCTGGCAAAGTAGAATTCAAATGCCCCAGCTCTTCAATTCATGAAGCAGTGCAGGGCCAGAGTAGCCAGACCTTTTTTTAAAAAAAACAGGTCAAAACTTTGGGAGCCAAACAAAACATATCCTTGAGCTGCCAGTTTTGACTTTGTGTATAATACCCTATTTTCCTTGAGTTTAGAGAATGTTATCCAAATAAAACAGCAGAAGGATATGCAGGGAAAAACAAGGGAAGTCACTAGACATACAAACTGTAGATAGAACAGGATCCAGTAAACTGCATTAGGTATTTTGTGAAGCCTAGCCAAAACCTAGGCTCTCAAACGCTACTTCAAGGTGAGCAGTAGCTTTCCTTTGGAAAGGTTCGTTTGTGGGACTCTATATAGAGATGACATTGGTTGCATCTTAAATACACACATTTGAATAAGGGCTGGTTTGTTTCTATTAGGAATAATAAAAGCCAAAATTTACAATGGGTTTTGACCAAATTATACCGGTCTAAAAATACATCATTCTTTCTTAACAGAAACAAATACACAGAGCTCAAACATCCTGGTGGGATTAAAACAAAACAGGGTATGAAAGTGAATTTTGGATATTCACTTTATCATTGTAAGTTATTTTTTCACTTCTGTCCCACAATCCTTTCTTTTGGGAATTGTCTCTAGAAATACACTATTTCTGTTGGAATTCTCAATCAAAGGGTTCTATGAGCTGCACATTCTCCAGGCTGGCCAATGACAGAATCTCATCTCCTAGATGGAATCGTTTGTCCAGAAGTATGCATGACTTTAGCCAGGTCAGTGAAGAGTCAGTCCTACTGCAGAGACAAGGATGCTAGGATGAAGTGGGATGGCAAGCTTTAAAAGGGACCACACAGTTCTGCCTCTATCCCCAACACACTACCAACACACATGAAGAAATCACTTCAAAGTGATAAAAAGAGAGAGAGTCCTGATAATGTCATTTGAACACAAATCCAGTGATGTCTGAGGATACTGCAAACACTGACCAATAGTTAACTTTGTAACTTGTGTTCCTGTAAATTACAATTGGGAGCCTTGATTAATGCAAGAAACATTTGTGGTTCGTATCTTTATTTTAGGAGAACGTGGATTCAAGTAAGTTAATTTCAGAAATAGGCAGCTGAATTGTATAATTGCTTCCTAACTCAACATATATTAATAATTCATATTTTATACTCTATTCATTTAAATATACTAATGCTGGCAAATAAACATTTGTCTATCCTCATTCAAGTACCATTTCAAAATATGATTTTGTTCTAATTATATCAGTAATGCCATGTTCAGTACCAAAAATTTAGAGAATATAGGAAAGCATAAGGGGAAAAAAGTGAATTTTAAAAGTTAGGGTTAAATTAACATAGCACACTGTGGGCCAGGCCCCACAATGGCTCATGCCTGTAATCCCAGCACTTTGGGAGGCCAAGATAGGACTGCTTGAAGCCAGGAGTTTGAGTCCAGCCTGGGCAACACAGCAAGGCCCCATCTCTACAAAATATTTTAAAAAATAAATTAACATATTAGTCAAAAGTTCCACTGTACACAGGATGGTATATTTTTGTACATATATGTTGAATTTGACAACCCATGGGAACTATTTTCAGTATGAATTACAATTTAAGGTAAAAAAATTATGTTTACATGTATATGCAGTGAGTGTCTAGTAAAATATTAATCTGTGGCAGAATACAGAACCTTTGTATTTATCCCCTACAAAGAGTATTACAGGAACCCTGAGAGCAGGAAATACATAATGAAGAGGTTGAATCTTGAATATTAAATATGCCTAGATCATGTGAGAATGCCTTCCAGTTATATCTGAATTCAGAACACTGGTGTGGCAGGATGAACGCATGCTCACCTCTTCATTCTCGATTTTGAGCGTGGCGAGGCGGGACTGCAACTGTTGGTACCTGAGCATGAGCTCTGCCTGGACTGGTTGCTGGGCACTGACCTGGCACACCTGATGGAGAATGAGAAACCACAGTTACAATGGGGCACCACAGACCCACCTCCAGAAGCACGGTTCTCCTATTTAAATGACGCACGAATCACACCAATCCTCTCAAGGTTCCAATTACATATTTACTTTTAATAAGCGCATCAAAACTTCTCTTGTAAATATGGAGCTGTTACATAAGCTGCAACAGTAGAATGCAGCTGCTTGGCCTGGCTACGACTGGAAGATGGCAGCTGCAGGAAGGACTGTGGTAAGAACGGAGCAGTTCCTGCGATGGAGCTCTGATGATGAAATCTCACTCGTGGAATTCTTAATGGCTCTTGTGCAGAGGCAGAAGATGATTCATGTGGACCATACAGACATAAATTAAGAAGGCAGCAGGGCTTATTGGTTAGGGTCTGAGCTCTCGAGTCAGTCAGTTGTACTCGAATGCCAGCTCTGTCCCCTACTAGCCAGGTGACTGTGGTAAGTTACAAAACCTCAGCTTCCTAATCTGTAGAATGAGAATAATAAGAGTTCTTATAACACAGGGCTGCTGTGGGAATGAAATGAGACAATGTACAGAAGCAACTTAGATCAGCGCTTGGCACACAGTAAAAACTCAGAAAATGTGAATGACTATTTGAGCATCTTTCAAATATGGCTTCCCTAGCCAATAGCAGCCAAATCGCGTGACTCACCATGAACTTCAAGAGGCCACTTATCTTAGGTTTTGATAGAATATATTTGGCCATGATCTCAATTATGGATAAGTTCAAAATCAGAGCATTATCAAAACTGCACCAGAAACAAACAATTTCTTCTTATCTGCCTTGTTTTAGAAATGCTCTTGGCTGATGGGGGTTCCTTTTATGGAGTTTCCAAAACATTAGAGAGATTACCACTGCTCCTTAGCAGAACTGGCCATAAAAAAGGGCAACCAACTTATTTTATTAAAATAATAAAACCATTAACATCCAACTGATGTCATTTGTCTGTGATATGTTAACATGCCATGCTTAACATATCCACAGCTGAAAAATTTAAACAGCGACCATTTGTTTTTGGAAACATGGGATAAGCTACTCATCCTGCTTGTCAAAATCCATGTTCTTTTGGCTTAAAAACTGCTTACCATTTCTATCAAACACACATAAAATCCAATTAGAAATACAGCAGGTACATTATATATAAATACATACACACGTATATATTTTATATGTCTTAACACTTGGTATTTCAGCAAAAATACGACATTAAAGAAATCTTTCATGATCTTATAATTACATCTATTTTGAAAAACAGACTGTCACCATAAGTTAAGACTGAGTTTTTATCTAGGAGTTTTTTTTTTTTGAGACGGAGTCTTGCTCAGTCGCCCAGGCTGGAGTGCAGTGGTGCGATCTCAGCTCACTGCAAGCTCCATCTCCCAGGTTCACGCCATTCTCCTGCCTCAGCCTCCCGAGTAGCTGGCGCCCGCCACCATGCCCAGCTAATTTTTTGTATTTTTAGTAGAGACGGGGTTTCACCATGTTAGCCAGGATGGTCTCGATCTCCTGACCTTGTGATCCGCCTGCCTCAGCCTCCCAAAGTGCTGGGATTACAGGCGCGAGCCACCGTGCCCGGCCGAGTTGAGTTTTTGTCTATGAGTTTTGTTTTGCACAGCTGAGACACCAAATGCTATTATATAGCATGCTCCATAAACTGGCTTTTTTTGTCTTCTCCTGTTCATAGACAATAACATAAGCAACTGTAACTCATAATCAGTTTAAATGCATGTTTTTGGTAAAACAGGATAGAAAGCTGAATTTATATAAAGGATATAAAACAGTCATAATTTCTAAGGCTCATTTTAAACTTTGGAGCCAATTTGAGTCTTAAAAGAAGTCTTGTACTTTTTTTTTTCTTCCATTTTCCTGCCATATACAATTACTTTTCTTTATGAGAATCTTTAAATCAGGATTATAAGAAGCCATCAGACAGATTCTATCAGACCAGCAAAATGCCTTCCTTTTCATTAAATTAAAATGTCTTGAGGTAGAACAAAAACTTTCTATTCTGGGAAACCTTAGTGCAACAGAAATCTGCACCTTTTATCTGTTTGACCTTTGTGAGTATTTGAGTGTTTGACATTTGCTTTAAAAGTTGGTAGGACTGGCCAGGCGCGGTGGCTCATGCCTGTAATCCCAGGACTTTGGGAGGCCGAGGTGGGTGGATCACGAGGTCTGGAGATAGAGACCATCCTGGCCAACATGGTGAAACCCTATCTCTACTAAACATACAAAAAAATTAGCCGGGCGTGGTGGTGGGCGCCTGTAGTCCCAGCTACTCCAGAGGCTGAGGCAGGAGAATGGCATGAACCTGGGAGGCGGAGCTTGCAGTGAGCCGAGATCGCGCCAGTACACTCCAGCCTGGGCGACAGAGCCAGACTCTGTCTCAAACAAAAAAAAAACAAAAAAAAAAATGTTGGTAGCGGCTGATCTTAGCATTATATTAAGGGCCTTTGCAAGGATAGGAGAGAGAAAACAACTTGGAATTATTACAACTGTTAGATTATAGCAAGTGAGGAGAAATATAAGTGAAGAGACAATTCATTATTTTAAAAATGATCAATTACTGACCTCATCACCCATGTGAGACTGAAACTCAAACTTCATTGGTGGACAGAACGCAGCAGGGTACATCTCCATGAATCTCTGCTTATCACTCCGGGGCTCTAAATTATCAACTGCATTCTCAATAATGTCTAAGCCCTCATGTCTGGAGGTTTCAAGGTTGTACTCCGCAGAGAGATATGTTCTGAGGGCTCTATTCAGACTTGCGTGGTAGCCAAGATCACAGCACTTAAAAAGTAAAAGAACACCACATACAAAAATGAATGCAAAATTGATCAAAGACAAAAATGTGAGACCTATAGCTATAAAACTCTTAGAAGGAAACGGATAAGTTTTCATGATATTGGATTAGGCACCGGTTTCTTGGACATGACATCAAAAGCACAAGCAACAGATGAAAAAATTAATTAGATTCATCAAAATTGAAGACCCCCTGTCTCTACTAAAATACAAAAAATTAGCCGGGTGTGGTGGCACGTGCCTATTGTCCCAGCTACTCAGGAGGCTGAGCCACAAGAATCGTTTGAACCCAGGAGTTGAAGGTTGCAGTGAGCCAAGATGGTGCCACTGTACTCCAGCTTGGGCTACAGAGCGAGACTCCATGTGAAAAAAAGAAAAAAAAACATAGACACCATCAAGAGAGTGAAAAGAGAACTCATAGAATGGGAAGAAATTTTTGCAAATCATGTATCTTATTAGGTACTTATATCTAGCATATATAAAGAACTCTTAAAACTCCAAAAAGACAAAGCCTAATTTTAAAATGGGCAATGAATCTGAATAGACATTTCTTCAAAGATGACATACAAATGGTTAATAAGCACATGAGGAGATGCTCAATATCACTGGGAAATACTAATGATAATCAGGGAAATGCAAGTCAAAACCACAATGAAATACCACTTCACACCCACTAGGATGGCTGTAATCAATAAGACAGACAATAGCAAGTGTTGGAGAGGATGTGGAGAAATTGGAGCCCTCATACACTGCCAGTGGGAATGTAAAATGGTAGAGCCACTTTGGAAAACAATCTGGTAGTTCCTCAAAAGTTAAACACAGAGTTACCATATGATTCAGCAAATTGGCTCCTAGATATATATCCAAGAGAAATGAAAACATATCCACCTAAAAATGTGTATACAAATGTTTATAGCAGTATTATTCGTAATAGCTAAAAGGTAGAAACAATCTAAATGTCCACAAACTAATAAATAAAATATGGTATAGCCATATCATTAAATATTATTCAGCCACAAAAAGGAAGAACTGATATATGCCATAACATGGATGAACTTTGAAAACATTATTCTAAGTGAAAGAAGTCACAAAAGACCACATATGATTTCATTGACATGAAATGTTCAGAAGAGACACATCTATAGAGACAAAAAGTAGATTGTGGTTGATGAGGGCTAGGAAGAGGGAAGAAGTTGGGGGTAATGGCTGAGAGGTGCAGGATTTCTTTGTGGGATAATGAAAATATTCTAAAATTGATTGTGGTGATGGATACACAACTCTCAGTATACTGAAAGACAGCTGTAGATTTATAATGGGTGAACTACATAGTATGTGAATTATATCTCCATAATGCTGTTAAAACATAAAAGAGGCAAAATCAAATAGCAAAAGAATGAAAAATAGCATTCAAGTTTTATTTGTGCAATACTGAGATCGATACAATCATTTATTGAAATCTGTGTAGGTTGCAAATACACTAACTACAATATTTTGAATTTGCATATTTTATTGAAGATCAAGAATAAACTGTACTCTTTTAGAAGTGAGAAGAACAGGTTAGAATCTGCCAAAATAGTCTAGGAATGCCTTCCCTCTTATCCCCAGAATAAAACTCTTAAATAATAAATGATTGTCAAAGTCTGCTTATTGGAGATAGAATTTCATTTAGTATTCCTAGGAATATAACTGCTTTGAGATTCTTAAATCTTCATTATCTTTAATTTGCATTTGTATTTTTTCATGTTGCATTTTAAGAGAATATGACTTGAAAAAAAGCATAATACTGGAAATTAGTAATCAATTACTGATAATTACTGACAGGCTGATTTTCAATTTGTACATAAAAGCAGTATGAATCACTTAAAGAGGAAAGAAGTGACTTTAAAGGTACAAAACTCGGTTCTTTCCCTATATTGTTCCAGTGAAGTTCAATCAGTTCAGTTTGATTCAGTTCAACTCACTAATTGGCCATGGATTAAGTGCCAGGGAATATGCTAGGCTCTAGACATATAAAGATTGGAGCATAGTAAATAAACTACCTCCATCCACAAGGAATTTGAACATAAGCTGTCCATTGGCTTGCTGTTAAAATAGTGGAGGGGTCGCAAAGAAAGCAACCTTTGTACAAAGGATGTATCTACCAGGATGTGAACCATTGGATCTGCCTTCACTGACCTGTCTTTAGAACCTATTTAATTCCACCCTTGGATTTAAATTAAATAGGTTGGTTCTTACAACTAACCTATTTAATTCTAATCTTTACCCTCCTATTTCAGAACTATTAAATTTGAAATTTTTATGTAAAGATATTCTAAAATCTTGCTATTTAAAATTTAGTCTGTGGACCAGCAGCAACGGCAGCACCAGGGGCTTGTTAGAAATGCTGGATCTTGGCTGGGCATGGTGGCTCACACCTGTAATCCCAGCACTTCGAGGGGCCAAGGTGGGAGGATTGCTTGAGCCCAGGGATTCAAGACCAGCCTGGGTAACATAGTCAGACACTGTCTCTACAAAAAATTTTAAAAATTAGCAGAGTATGGGGGTGGGTGCTGTGGTCCTAGCTACTCAGGAGGTTGAGATTGGGGGATCACTTGATCCTGGGAGGTAGAGGCTGCAGTAAGCTGAGATTGTACCACTGCACTGTAGCCTGGGAAACAGAGTGGGACCTCGTCTCAAAAAAAAAAAAAAAAGAAAGAAACAAAAAAGAAAGAAAGAAAGAAAAGGAAGGGAGGGAGGGAGGGAGGAAGGAAAAAAGGAAGGAAGGAAGGAAGGAAAGAGAGAGAGAGAGAAAGAAAGAAAGAGAAAGAAAGAAAGAAAGAGAAAGAAAGAAAGAAAGAAAAAGAAAGAAAGAAAGAAAAAGAAAGAAAGAAAGAGAAAGAAAAGAAAAGTAGGGTCCTGAGTCCCACCCCTGACCTATTTCAGAATCTGAAGGTTAAAAAGGATCCACAGGTGATTCATATGCACATTAAAAGTCTGAGAAGCAATGCCCTAAAACAATCATCAAGTAAATGGGCTTGCAACCATGTCTTTTGGGGGTGGTATTTTCCCATCATCAAGTAAATGGGCTTGCAACCATGTCTTTTGGGGGTGCTATTTTCCCAAGCAGAAAAAAGGACTTGATTAAAGACGACTTGATTTAAAAAAATCAGAAAGTAGCTGTGACACCATAATTACAAATCCAACTAAAATACAATTGTGAAATGCAGCAATCAGTCTTATCATTAATACATTTCCAGTGGAATCAGCTGTACTCAAATATAGAGAATGATTCATTTTGGTTAATTTAGAAATTCTAGTCCCAGATGAACAAAGTCCTCTTGTATTCCTCCTGCTTTTCGAAATCTATAATGGTTCTGTGTAGCGGTTTTATACATATCAGAGGGCCTGAAAAATTATTCTATCTTTCAAGAAAGACAGGAAATTTGTGTTAATGAAAACACAGATTTGTAAAGGAAATGACCTCTTTTTTTTAGAGGTACCAGTGTTTAAAAACATCTCACTATTCTGAAAGAAGATAGATTCTACTGGATTATAATGAAACAGATGAGACAAGCTGTTCTATTTTATGAGTATTGATTCCAACGGGACTTAAAAAATTGAAATCTAGAGGAATGAAATCAGGAGGAAAGCCTCCCCCTCTCAGAAAAACCCCCAAATCTCTTAACAACTTAAAAGAGAAAGACAGAGAGAAGGAAAAGACAGAAAAAAAAAAAAAAAAAAGAAAAGAAAGCAATCTAATCCCAACCACCAGATTGACTTGGAGCTCTGAAAAATACACACTAAATTTTCATTATTCCAAGACTTAGCTCATGCCTCAAAATTTTAAGTGTAGTTTCTTTGGGGAAATAAATGTGAAGACTACAAAAGCATCAGTGCATGTTTCCACACCCAGTGCAGTCAGTTGGATTCTGCAGGTCTGGGCGCAGCGAGAGATAATTTCATCCTGGTTTCCTCCTAGGCTGGGAGGAGCGTGCATGCAGCTCAGTAACTGATCTAGGAGCCTCCCCAGGTCTTCTGAGCTTTCAGTGCTACAGGAGGCTTCCGTGAAGAGTTTTGATAGAAATTTCCTTCTCTGACCCCTATGATGCTTGTCAGTCTGTAAGATCGCTTAATTGGCCTAGTTTTGTTACTTCTGATAGGCAGCATTTCTACACTCTAGGATTTTCAGGCATCTTGAACTAGAAACAAAATACAGAAAAAAGAAAATTCTTATTCAAGGTCTCCTGAGACAGCAAGGCTAGTCACTGAATCTTTTTTTGTTTTTGTTTTTTTCTAAACTAGAAGCTGAAATGACACGGGATCTGTTAAGATTCAAGATACTTGGTTTAAAAGGTTTAAAGTAATTCTATAGAGCTCATGAATTATTAATGACAATATGAAAAGCCAGCCTCTGCACAAAGAGCTGAGTTATAGCCCAAGTGCATTTAGTGATGAAAATACATAAGAAACCAATACAAGATTTCTTGAAAACAAAGCAATGTTGTTCTGATGGATGAAAAATTCTGAACGGATACATAAAATTATGGATTAAAATTAGGGAAGAAAAGGCTGTTGGAAACAGAAGGGCACATGTACATTTTAAAAATATCTGAAAACCTGTCAAGACAGATTCCAGTAGACATTAGTCTAAATCATCACAGTAGGCTAATTTTCTTAGGCAAAAGGGTTGCAAATAGTATCAAAATGAAGATGAAATCCAAATACAGATGCTCCTCAATTTACAATGGGTTACATCCCAATAAACCTGTTGTTAAGTGGAAAATGTTGTAAATTAAAAATGCACTTAATGCCCCAATAAACTTATTGTAAAGTCGAAAAGTTGCAAGTTGAGCCATTGTAAGTCTAGATGCTCCTCTATTTGCAATGGAGTTACATCCAGATAAATCAATTGTAAAGCTGAAAAACTGTAAGTTGAACCACTGTAAGTTGAGGACCATCTGTATGGAGGACTGTGACAAATGCTGAGAGTTGGCTGAAATAACATGGTG